TGTATTTTTTTTTTGTAAACTAACAATAAGTTATATTTATAATAGTCATATTTTGTTTGACAAAAAGAATCATTAAAAAACGATGTGATTTTTGAAAGAACAGAAAATGTAATATAACACAAAAAAAAATACAAAGTGATAGAAACAAAATCGTAAAAAATATTTACAATATATCATTTTAGCTTCATTGACACACAATATACAAAATAAAAATATTTCTTGACATTGGCCAAAAATTCCACGAATCCAATGCGAAGAAATACATAATATTTTAAAAAAAATTAAGAATATTTAAACTTATGACATTCAAGATAAAATAATAAGAAAAAATACACAACAATTCCTGAAATTTCCACTGTTAATACAATTTTATTTATACCTTTCATTAACAGACACCATTTTGATTTTCCTAGAATGTTCTAGACGATTCATTTTAATACCGACTCGATTTAACATCAAAGCTTTATCAAACTGATATTGACAAACTCATTAGCGAGATAAAATTAACTCAATTCTATATTAAAATTATTAGTTTGCAGAATAACTATTATTATATATAAGGAAAATAAAATTAATATATAATTTTGAATACATTTGCATCAACTCTTAAAAATTCACTAGTATTGGCCAGTCCGCCATATTGAATTTTAAATTATGTCATTTAATCTGTCATCGTCATTAAAAGTAAGTGTCAAATGTCAATAAATTGTATTGACGACTTAAAATATGGCAGAAGAATGTTATATGATAAAATATAAATGTAAAGAATACTGCTAGTTTAGTACAATCTTGTAATGGCTAGAAAAACGGCTATTCTACGTAATAATGTTAAAATTTCTGCAAAAAGAAAGTCTGATTTTTTTCTTTTAAAACTGAACAATGTGTAATTTTTTTTATAAAAAGAGATTTGTCTCCCAAAAAGTTCTACTAATTATTTTAAAGTATTAATAGCAATCAAAACTAACTAACAACCTACGCATAATTCAAAACATTTTGAATCCAAAAAAATCAGGTATTAAAATATCATTAAAAAGAAAAATAATCAGATAAAATGAATAACGCTCGAATCACCTAAATTGAGTAATTTTAAAACTCAAAGAAAATATAACACAGTTTTTTATCCATACAAAAACTTAAATAACATCAACGTTTCAGAACGCTCTATCAAACAAACTCTTTTGATGAAACATAAACAAGCGTGGCGAGTTATTTATCTGTTAAAATAAAATGTAAAAACAACTTAAATAACTTGTAACATGCAGTCATGCGCGCTAATTAAGATCTCCTTTGACATGCGGACTACTAGGAAATATACGTTTAGATCTCTTTGTTTGTATAAAATGCTTTTAAAATATTAAGAAAAAACAAAGCTTTGAAACGAGAGTTTTATAAATCCAATTAACTTTCTAAAATAGAATTCTATTATATTCATATTTTTCGTATTTTTATTTACGTGGGACGCTCTTCTATAGTTTTAACTTTTAAGTCTAATAAATTGAGTTATTATAGAATGTGTTTGATATAGTAGATACGTTTAACTATACACAATAAAAGATTTTGTGTTTTGGCCGGACTGGAATTGTACAATACAATTATAAATACGCATATGGAAACAAATATAAGCGTATTTACTGTCTTTATTATATATATATATATATATATATATCTCTCTCTGTATGTGTGTGTGTGTGTGTGTGTGTGTGTAAAACTTTTGTCTCTTAAATCCGATTATATCTATCGATTGTCTTAAAACAGACAAACGGCTCAATGTTATTATATATTCAAACATAAGTAAATAATGTCTAAGTTAAGTAACATAAAATAGCCCTTTATATACTCAATAATATACAGAATACTATATATATGTTTATTTATATACATACGAACTCTCAAAGGCCTTATCTTTAAGAAGAGAATAATTTATTACAGCAACATTAGAGAGACAATACTGAAAGTTTCAAGGGCAACTAGAATTATTATATGATATCGATGAGAAATTTATTATTAAATACTTTATATATGATATTTTACTTAATATATATATATATATATATATATATATATATATATATATATATATATATATATATATATAAGGTGTTTTGGTTATTATGTAATTATTTAAGTCTTCAAGTTAATATATTCTACATACATTTAAATTTTAAACATCAAGTTGTTATCAGATGTCGGGTTCTTACATATTAAATTGGCTTTATCAAAGTTACATCTTTGATCTCAATGTAGGGTTTGGTTGGGAATTTCAAAATTAAGGCTTATATAAACGTTTAAAATTTTAAGGTAATTTTATTTGTTCTGGATAAAAAATAATTATATATAATATGAAAATGGAAAAAACAGTTTGTTTTAGTGGATTACTTTAAAATATGTTATAAATTCTGATAAGTCGACAATGACGAATAAGAAGTGATTCTGTGCGACATTTTTCATGTAAGGCTATGTGTTCTTGAGGCATCAATACATTATGTTAAAATTTGTCCAAACTATTATAAGATACTTCTACTGTTAACAATAACTGGTCATGATGGAAAAGTCTGTTAAACAACTAAGACTAGTTTATTACCCATATAAAGCCAGTTAATTGTTATAATCGGGAAATATATTTGAAATGTCTCTTAGCAAGACTGGCTTCAATTATTGTTGAATTTATGACTATTTTGAATAAATGTAGAAATTTTATGTTAATTAATTAATATAGATAGCTTTCAATATTATAATATTATTCGCTTCAACTTTTTTTTCAAAAAATATGTCAAAAAAACATACTTCAAAATGGCGGAAACATATTTTCAATATGAAAATGTCTTTTTCATCTAATATTCAGTGTAATATATCAGAAATTTAATTATAAACTGTTTAAGTCTTTGTAATACGTCTTTTAACACTATTTCAAGAATACTCTGATTAAAAAGTATAAGAGTGCACTTTTAGATTACGTTAGCGTCTTTTGACAAAGTTTTCTTTGAGAAAAGGCTTTAGCACGTTATACGAAACAGTGTATGATGTTAAAGTAAAAATAAACTTTTTATTTTATAAATATCATATTCTAGTTAATCATTATTTTTTATACAAAATTATGTTTTATTAATTGGATATTCTAACGTGACAGAATTTAATGTAATTTCTACATAAGTACATAATTTTGTTAAGAGTCAAACTCTTGACAACTGTTTGATAACTCAGGTTTAGTATATTATTTCATACCAGACAGAAGCAAATTATTATTAATTTTATTTACATAGGTACGTACATATCAAATTATGTGACTAATAACTTAGTAAGTGAAATTATATTCAGTAGATGAATTTAAGTTAAATTTCTAATAAATTGAAAGTATATATCAAATTCCCATCCTCTTTTAAACAACAACAATAAAAAAATTGTAGTCTTGACAAAAAATATATATTAAATGTAGTGATATAATATATATAAATAAATATTTTTAATACTCTTAACTAAAAGAAGTTTCTTAATATTTGGAGACATTTTTAACAGTTATAAAATTGATAATATAACAGGCATACCTACGTTGAAAATAAAAATGGAAATGTTCATATTCATTTAACTTTTCCTCGCAGAACGTTTAGATCTCACAAATGAGACGTTTTGAAGCGAAATGTGAGTTTAATATCCCAAGGGAAGTGACTCACGACGTATTGTTTCCGATACGAATTCAGTAGTCACAGCTTCGTATAAAAAACTACGACTTTTGTGTTTAGTATGAGAGAAAAAATATAAAAGTATTTAAAAAAGTATATAAAAGTAAGCAATTTTACTTAAACCTATAAGAAAAACTAATAATAATAACATAATTATAAATATATGTACTATTTATTTTTTATTATTATCAATCTCATCTCTCTTTATTTTTATCAATCTCATAAATGTATATTATTCATAATGAAATGATTGCAATAGCATTCAGCCAATTTGCTATTGAACCTTTTTTTTAACACAAAAAAGATTGAGTGTTATTACTTATTATACTTCCATTATGTAAGAAAATTTCCTTTGAAAGCGATTTAATTAAGGTATTTAATTTATTTTGTATTGCCATCACACTTGTTTTAAAACGAAAAGATGCTTACCTCTCATGTATGTACAGCGCCATCTAGTTCAATTATGAGTAAAATCTAATTAGGTATGTCGAGTGAAACGTGAACACTGGCATTTTAATAATATAAGCCGCAAAGCGAAGGCATTCATTAAATTTCTCCTATATTTAGATACAAATTGCATGGAATATTGATATTTAGTAACAAAAATATCGGTTATATTCCTGTATTAATATATTTATTATTGTAAACGTATGAAAATATTATAACTTTTGTTAGAACATAAAGACGATTGATGTTTGGATAATAAAGTACGTGATACTAAGTTACCACTGAAAATTCAATGGAAATAAAACTATATGTCTTTCACTATAAGGTCCAATTTCTTTAAATGAAGTTCATTACGAATTTGGTGTGTAATCAAATAATTTATAATTATGTGTACCATAAATATGCATAATTTGTTCAGTCATTAATATCTGTTCATTTTTTTAAGATTCATTTACATTTCTTACTAAAAATTTTAACCAAATATTAACTAATAATAAATAAATAATTGGCACCCTCTTCAGTTCAACTACGATATAAAATATAAGAAACTAGCTGACAGTTCAGCTAGTTAAACAGCTAGTTCTCTCTTCTTAACTGTGATTATTGAATTATTATGGGTATATTAACAAATCAAAATTATTCCAAAAACAAAGTGTATATTTTATTTATAATCTATAAATCAATATACATAGGTAAATAAAACATATTCATATATAAATATATGTATTTTTATCAAATATAAAAAAATATTAAAACATTTAAAATACCTTGAAAAAGCAGTCGGCATCGAGTTTACAAACTCGTTACATAAAACCGTTATATACAAATGAATACCACAATAATATCACATTTAATTACTATTTATATCTAAAATAATCATTCTTTGACTACGTATCCTAATGCTTTCATTTCTCTATCGAATTTTTCGTCGCGATATTTCTTGATTTTCTGCAACCAGACGCCGATTGGTACGTGGTTCCTACATGTACCTCCGTATCTCGCTGGAAGGCAGTCAGGGTCGATTTGTTGTTGAAGGGATTTCAAATCACTGCCGTGGAAAATAATCTTACTCCAAGCATCTTGAGGTATGAACTTCTTGAATAGATAGAAGAATGTGTTCAAAACCCATGAGTAGTTTATAATGTGAACGCTTTTTATACGGGTCGGTGTTACCAGCTAGAAAAAAAAATATTAATTCAATAAAACCTTTTTTTATGTATTATTACGATTATTATATTATAATTTTAGATGAAATAACAGGTATAAACATAAGTTGGAGTCTTGCAAAGTATACAAACTTTGATCATATTAAATTAAAGTTTTAGCTTCGCATATGAAGTACGAATATAGAATATTGTTGTTGATAGTTATAACTCAAAAATAATTAAAGCAAGTTGAGTAACAATTAACATTTATATAGAAAATAGTATTATAACGCTAAAATGATACATTTGGTTGTAGATTCGAATCCTGCTTGAGTTGGGTAAATTATCATACAATATATTGTAATATATGTAAATTTTAAATTATGTACTCACTCATATTGCATTAATGTTAAAAATATAATTGGAGAGATTTAACAGATATTTTGTGAAGATATTTCAATTGATAATATTTAAAAATGATTATACATATATGGTGAAGTCTTTCAGAATAAGTCGTCTTTAAGTATAATATGAGTATATTTCGAGAGTATTTAAGTAGTGTTATAACATACCCCCATTAAACAGACTATCTGATAAGCTATGGTGGGAGTCAGGGTTGCCGCGTGTCTGAGTGTTATTCCTTCCAAATCAATGATAACTGTTCCACCCAGAATCTGTAACTTGGGCTGACGAATACCAATTTCAGTGATGGCCATCCCTGTTCGAATTAGATCGTCTACTGGAAACTCGTTTGGATCCCATGTTCCTGTAAATAAAAAACAGTTATAAATATGAAAAATGGTAGATGCTTTTACGAAACCTCTTAGCATTCAATGGATTCACCGGTGCCGGGTCCATCGTTACAGGGAGAGAAGCTTCAACAGAGCCTGGGACTTGCGACCTAGATGTAGGTTTAAAGGGCTCCTATCTAACGCGCGTTATACGCTCACCTCCACTGTCCAAGCTCCTCTACTTAACCAAATTTGAAAATAACCTACTAGGGCTGCCTTCAAAGTACGAATACTTGTTATAAATCAAAAGTAACATATGACTGAAGTTTTGTTATGTTATTTGTAGAATTTATTTCTAACAGTAAATTCTCGCCTTATCTATACAGCTTCCTGCTAAAAACGAGAGCAGTTTAATGGCTACTTCACACATAATATACGATAATGTTGCTATCTAAGTTGTTAAACGACGTACATAATACATAGTTGCAACCATAATCCTTACTACTTTGTATCGTTACACTACATACGGCGTGCTTTAAGTATTTCATTCATAAACCTCCATTGATACGGTCATGTGTAAGGTTTATGACCAAAAAACTGTAAGTTCTTCGTATTTCGTGGATAAAGAAAACTTGTGGTAATCATACAGATATACTTTCAACATTGATACTTGAAGAATGATATATAATGGTGTAAACTGTATATGTCGGCACGTAAAAGAAGCACTGTTTGATAGATAAATAGTGAAAAATTAAAAATATTACTTCACTATTACGTCATACGTTTATGTCAATTTAGTAAAAAAATACAAGCTTTACAAACAGAAACAAAACTAAAGGAATCATTCTAAGGTAATAGAGCCTAGCTGTGGTCAGTTATTACAGCTCAAACAGGGGCTGACTTGACCGGGGAAGTACCACCCTCTCACAGAAGATCGGCGTAAAGTAGCCTTTAATGACTGCGTTTCGTCCGATCAGTGAGAGAGCCGGTTCCCATTTCCCCTTTCCTCTCCCTTTTCAGTAGGTAAGTAGGCAGTCTGCTAATTACCACATTTGCTTTATAAAAAGGATATGACAACGTAAAACGTGTCTATCATATTTTGATCTCTGAATATAAACAAATTGATGGTACAAAAATTCATAGACATTTTTTACGTGCTGGATAATAAGTAAAAGCAGATTGCAAGGATATTACTTGTGAGCAAATTTAAATTAATTCTTAATCTTACATAATATTCAATTTTATCAATACATTAAATGAGAGTGGCGGTAACTTTTATTTTATAGAGAACAAGGTGAACCGATCAAAGTCAAGCATTCGTTTTAAAAGGAGTTTTTAATTAAAATGTTTATTACTTATACAGTTATTTACTTAAACACAAAGATCTCATGGTTAAATATAATTACATATTATGTTAATCTAATAATAAACTTGTTTCCTATAAAAATGTGTTAGAACGTATGTTTTTACGTACTAAGCATGAGAATGGTTACATTGATAATAATTGATATATATTTTATTTCTGTTATGTATTAATACTTCTTTTATTGCTTAAAAGAGACATCCTCAAAGGAAATAAAGTTAAAACAAAGAACTTTAATACATTTATTCTTTGTTATCCAAAAAATGAAGGAAAAGCAGACTTAATGCTGAAAGCACTCTTTAATAAGTGGTATAAATACTTAATCTTTTTGTTGTTGTTAATAAATAAAAACTTGTTATTTTCCTGCATGTAAAACTTTAACAGAATATCAAGGTAAAAAACTAATATGAAATAAGATAGCAAACAAAAAATATAACATCACTTCCCAAGAGGCACGTATATAACAATTATATGTAGACTATATTCCACAAGGATTAGAACTCGAAAATACACAAAATTTTATGGAACCATGATCAAACTTTGACATGTTTAATGGTCGTTATCAAATAGCTACAAGAATATCAATATAAAATAACTTTTAATAGCAATAAAGAATAAAGCATAGAAAAGTTTAATTCTGTAATAGGAATAACGAAAAAACTTTAACATTATGTGTTTACTCGAGCATTTTTATGGTCATTGTAGATATTTTAACGCTAGAATAATATAGAGGACTTAGGAAGGAAAGAAGACATACAATTTCAAAATTACTATTATGTACTGTATTCGAATACAGAGATTGGAAGAAGTGCTAAAAACTGCTAGTACTATCACTGCTCAAAGGAATAGCATTTCCATGACCTAATTATCATCTACAAGATTAAAGCCAGCTCGGAAAAGATTTGTTTCTCAAAAAGTTTTTCCTGTCAAAATGGTTAAAGAGAAACTACGAATTCTTTAGATAAATTAACGATTCTAAAATCATAGATATGTGCGTTGTTTAAGGATATTAAACAAAAATTTATAATGTGATGTCATAGGTGAAAATTATCTTTTTTGCATAAACAAAATTGTATTGAAATTAAAAGAAATAAAGCTCCGTTGTTTAAAATTAGTTACCTTAATTTTGATAGTTAATTATTGTTACAAGTGTGTGAATTTTGAGATCATTACAAAACAATAGTTTAGATTCAAATATAGGTTTAATTAAAACAATACCGTGTGAAATTATATGATCACGTTTTAATTAAATAACTAAGAGATATAAAGATTATAGTTACACGTGTTTCTTTTGAATTAAAAAAATTTGTAAGCAAAAGTAACTAAATGACTCAAGACTGTAAAGTTTGCTTCTTATAATATTTTGCCTACGTTAGTAAGTATAAACGCTTGCCACCACGCTTGCTTAAGACGGGTTGGTGATTTCAAACTTATAATTTAATATTATAAATCCAGGTTTCCTCACGACGTTTTCCTTCACCGTCTGTCAGTGGTGTCTAAATACTATTAGAAAGTACATATGACTCGGAAAAATCATATTAGTGCTTGCCAGGATCAAACCCGTGCCTTTAACCACTAGGCCATCAAGGCGTACAAACAACAATATATAGAATTTCTTAATGAATCGATATAATTATTTAATTTATTCTAAGTATATACTTACCAAATCTGAAGATAGAGAGTCTTCCTATATCAGGTCGGTCCACCATAGAGCCTTCGTAAGCACTCTTGACTTTCATCAGGCCCCATAGATCGACATCTTTATACAAATGGGGATATTCCGCCCGGAATGTGTAGTATCGGACTAGCTGAGAAATAACAATAGCTTTGTTATTATGGAAAAATTTGGGTAATACGATGGAAAATCAATACATATATGAATATATACTAATGTATACATGTATTCTTATTTTGTACAAGTTGTTCTTGCGATTTCGATTGCGTGGTATTCGAACTTTTTATACAGTGATATAACTTTTTTGTTTTTATTGTCAATTTTAATGTCTAATCCGGAAAACTATATATTAAAATCCTACTCAATAAGTATAAACGCTTCTTAGATGTAACAAAAGCTTCTTACTTGAGTGTTAATTCAACTATTTTCACGACATTTCTAATGATAAAAATACAATTACACTTATCTAATAGTTTTTGTTTTGAATCCTATTGCACTGTAATAAAACTGATATTAGTGCTACATCTTACATATACAGAAACCGATATTTTTTTTAATTTTCAATAGATTTCAAAATTTAAAGAGTATTAAAAAAATGGCAAGAAATCCTTCCACACCTTATATTAAAAGAGTTAGTGAAGTTCATAATTGGTATATTGGTGTATTGGTACATATTTTTATATTGAAAGCAATACTTTCATAAGAAGTAAATTATAGGGAAGACCATAATTCCTTAATTTTCAAATGAGTTTCTTCTATGGTACTTAGAAATTAGGATAATGCATTTCATGTACCTCCTCACCTAAATGCCACGAATTAATTGGTCCTTGGCCTCCCGAACAAAACTAGCAGAATTCCGCGATCAAAAAGACCTCAATCAAATTCAATTCATTACACGTGCTTACATTTGCTTTTCAGAAAATTTTTATTGCTGTTCGCAATTGTTATAGTCTTTTCCTGTTACTTTTAGTACTTTTTATTAAATCTCCAAAGAAAAATCACTCACAATACAGAACTTTTTGGCCAGTGCAATCATTAGTTTTGCCATTTTTATAAAATAATAATATTTTTACCAATAATTCAATAAACAACTTTTTATTCATTCGTCTGTATTAACCTACAGCATCTATCATACGAGGAAAATAAAAATACGTTTTTATAAAAGTATGCAAATAAAAAAATAACTAACCCTGACATGTTCTGCGTCAGAAGAACAAGTAAAAAAAGCAACAACTAGATATATGTACTATTTTATGTTTTAAATAACACGTTTATGCTAAAAACTGTCCATATAAAAAAAGCAATTAAATAAGACTTGTATTTTATATGAAGTTAAGTTAAAACTTGTTTACGGACGTATAAGTAATAATTCAGTTATATGCTTATTATTTTTAATTATAGTAGAGTATACTTCATGTTGAAGGAATATATAGTAGAGTATATATAATGAGTGATTTGTAGTTGTTCTATATAATTGACTTATTGACCTTTGATAACGATGATAACTGTTATCATGGAAACCAATTGTGTGATTTAATAAACAAGTTGATAATATGAACTCTTTCGTTTGATATATTAATAAAGTTTTTAACAAAAAAATATATATACATAGTTAAACGCATGGTTTACAAAAGTTGATTTTTAAACCTCTAATAACTTATAGGAGGATTCACCAAGTTTTTTTTTTCAATAAAAAGGATTTTATAAGGAATTCAAAAGTATTAAATTTATTTCAAATCCGTCCATTAGTTTTGGCATAATACGAACATTACACAGACCTTCATCATTAAATTTATATACGTCAATATATTATATTTGCGAAGGACTAAAAAAAATCTCACGTGTTTTGCATAAATTAAGGGATATTTGCATTTAATGAATAGAAAATGACAGGTCTTTAAAAAAAATGGTGGAACTTGTTATTCTTCCTATACTTGCGACCTGTTCTTAGTTATTTTGTGACAAAAAAAAATGTTAAAGCTTACAAGTTTATGTGCTCTTGGTACTATGAAGTCTCTCGCCCGGAGAAACCTTAAGAGGAACGCGTCATCAGTCCGATGAGGTTTGCATTCTGCTCTTTCTGTGGAAAATAATATTTAAATTTAAATACCTAATGTCTTATTGTTTTTATTTTTAATATAACACAAAGAAATCCGACCTTAGACATTTACATACTCACGAAATCTTCACGGTCAAAGTTGTTAATTTGTTGCTAAATTAAATCGTTTTAAAAATAAAGAAAAATATACACACACATATACACACACACATACACATATATGTATATATGCAAGCAGAAAAGTTAACAAAGAAGAATGGAACAATAATCCTTTATAAGTACTAGGATGACATAAAAAGTGAGGAGTACCGAATATCATATTCCTGAGATTTGTGACGGCCGTGGCCCTGGTGGACGCGTCCTCGTTGCATAGTTCAGGTGCTAGTTCAAGTAGCTCGGGGTCTTCTTTTGTATTCAGTTCAGCCTCGAACGCTATCTCAAGGAAGCATTCATACATTATGATATCCTGGTATATGATGCTGGAAAATATTCAATATTTTTTATTCGATGGTAGAAAAACAAGATTTTAAACCATTCTACCGCCAATACGCGCAAAAAACGGCATTTAATGCGGAAATAATTTTTATCTATAGATTAGACGAAAATTAATTTGTATTAATTTTATTGTTTGTAATTAAATACAGTAGGACCCCGATTATCCGGACCTCGGTTATCCGAATTCTCGATTATCCGGACTGACAATCGCGACGACTTTATTCTAACACTAGCTGTGCCCGCGACTTCGTTCCCGTGGATTAGTGACTATGAGCAGCGTTTTTTTTAATATATACTTATTTTTAGAATAGTGTTCGACGTGATTCTTTAATTTGTCATAACTTTTTTATTTATGGACCGATTGACATGAAACAAACACTAAAGCATAGCTGAAGCATACCACAATATATTCGTGAAAATCGCATCCAACTCGGATCAGCCGTTTCTGAAATTAGCGTGAACAGACAAACAGACAAAAAAAAATAATTTCTTTTTTGAGTTCGACATCGACGTAACAATAACCCCTGCTATTTTTTTAATTTTTATTTTCAATGTACAGACAGCACTTTTCTACTATTTTATTATATGTATAGATTAACATGTCAGAACTTGCATAACGCCACGCCACTTATAACACTTATACGTACATTATGTACAATTTCTTAATAAACGTTGATTTTCGCTCATATGTATTTGTTGTTTTAAATAAACACCTAACATTACATATGTATGGTACAGACTACATACGTACATATGCAAAAAGCCCGTTTTTCTTCATATATTGGATTATCCGGACTTTCAATTATCCGGATGCCTACCGACAACAATTAGTCCGGATAATCGAGGTCCTACTGTATATGTTTTTTTCATTGTACTTATTAGAAATTCCATTCACCGTCGTATTTGAAACGATAATAAAAGATACAACTAGGACAGGGTCAGATTAAGAAACTTTTTTTTTTGGTGGTGTGAATGAACTTTGCAAACATTTTACTTAATATGTAATATAAATACTATTCTTATCATATAAATATGTTGAAAAAATAAAAAAGTTTGTGATCTTTATCATGAAAAATTAGAAATAAAAAATATATATATCAAAAATAGATTCTATGTTTATAAATAACCAACTAATTAATTAATAAAGAACATTATTTTTTCATCCGCATATTAAATAAAAAACACAACAGCTGAGCTTTATAAACTATAAAGAAAAAAATAAGGGATTAATTTAAAAAAAAAATAGACAAAATATCAAAACATTAAAAAAAAAAACAAAGAAAACAAAGTAAAATAAATAAACTATTACCCACCGTCACATAAACCTTGAGATTCAATTGTTATGAATCAAAGATATATAATTCGAAACAATGAACATGCTACATATATATTAAAAAACAACATACACCCAACATAGTCACAACACTGCACCAATGTAAATAAACGTTTGACTAATCGTAACTCACTGACTCATTCACTCATACATTCACTCATTCATTCACTCAAATCGAAGCAGTGAAGCACTCATTTTTAGTTCGCCGGTGACATTATATTATATCATTTAATAATATTTAATAAGGTCAATATACATATGTAATCTTAAAAGTAAACCACTTAACCATTATAAGTTGACCTTTAAAACGTTAATATTTCATACTTATAATAAAAATATTTCTTTTAAAAAGGAACCAATTAAAATGCATCGAATGTCCATGTGATTAACTAAGGAGTGATGCATGCTTTAGTAACATTCTATAATATCGGCTTAACCGAGGCCACAGCGCTCGCCTTGACTTGAACCTTTGGCGAACCAGTATCGCGTATTCCTCGCGTTTTATGATCGCCTGGTACTTATTTCATGTACCTTTGACGAAATAAATCATTATTTTTTCTTTAATTAGTCGAAATCACAAAGAATTTAGTATATATGTATATTATTTATTACAATATAATTATGTAAACTTAATAAATTACCCACCTTTTATGACTGTGGTTGTGGTTTATGACGTAACGACTTTCACCCACTATGCCTTAATAGGTAACACCAAATATATGACTATATATAATATTATATATCTATAAAATAATAATTATAATCCCTATACTAAATACCAATAAGATTTAATCAAAAGTATTTGTTTATTCCGATCCCGTTTACCAAAAAAAATAGAATTTTATTAATATTATTACAAAAAAATCAGTTATTACAAAGATGGAGTAACATCGTATAAATAATACACATTAAAACATTCTTTTGTTAATTACAAGTGTCATTATAGTTCATTATTTTAATTAAATTAATGACATAGTTAATATATTGTTATCTATTTGTAGATGATTTACTACTTCATATATTATCAACTAGTTCTAATAGATATATAATTAGAATGCATCTATATCTATATAGATAGAGATATATATGTATATCTAAACATAGAGACATTTCACGTGCGTTAAGATGACTCTTATATTTCCTTGAACAATTATAAATTTTAATAACACATTGTGACTCACAAGTCATACATACATATATTTTTGCTCAAACCTTTAAAGTAAAAAGATAATGAAAATATAACATTCATATACATATTTAGAGATTTTGAAGGTAAAATATTTTTTTAAATTCAACTTAAATAGACAACAATCAAAACTATTATGCCAAGTTTTATTACGTTTTGTATGAATAACTTTTTTTATTAAAAAAAAATAGTGTCGTTTCAATAATAGCTATATTTATATCCATTATCACATTCTGTTCCTATATTATTAAGATAAACCAGTAAAAAAATGAAAAAAAAATCCATTTTAACTTTAATCCAACATTGACTTGTAAATTGTTTTTCCGTCTTCTTCACACAACAAAAAAACTGCTACAAAGAAGCTTACATTACCATATCAGGCAAAAAAATACATAAAAATACAAATTGTTTTTCGCTTAGGCTCAAAGAACCCATAAATAAACACACGCACACACACACAAACACACACACACAAATTAACAACAATGTATTTTATAATTGATATATATTGGAACTGGTTCTATAAAAATTTTCTTAATGGCAAGTGACGTCACTATAATAATATTATGGCCATTAGAACGTGTTGTCTCACTAATTGTGCTGTTTAAGTATTCAAAATGAATACAATGAACACATAAAGCTAAATGTTATGTTAATATAGTTAATAAACATTTAAAGTCCATTTGAAGAAGCCATGGGAACATGTGTTAAACATAGTCATAGTGGTTGCCGTTCATACTGATATTTTTACGATATTTTACAAACCGAGAAATTTGAATTTGGAATTTTATTTTTGTCACAAAAACTTAAAATTTGCGACATAACTATTCTGCTTCTTATGAGCTTAAACCCTCGATACTCTTCTTAAAATTCTTATGTGAGGTTTATGAATTTTGTCCCTTCAAAGAGCTTCAACCTTCTATAAATTAATTTGAAAAGTAGTCCATAACTTTTTGGAAGCAACAATCCTCATACATAGAAAATATCTGTTGTAGAATTATCTCAAGAATTTTTCGTTGCTTAGATTTCTCAAATAATTTTTTTTCCATGTTTGAAATTTTTTTCGTAGTCTACAAGTTCACTAAGAAATGATTGGAAAACGGCTAATTAATGATATTATATGTACTAATTAAGTTATTGATATAAAAACTTTTTTATTTAAATGCGATTTTATAAAAGACCACAGCTAAATAAAAAAGAGTGTTGAACCCTTAGGTGTGAATGAACGGAGTAAACGCTTGAATCATATTTTTGATACATTTAAGAAATCCAAAATTTATTGCCAAAACTTTGCTAAAAAAAAAGTAATCTTACGAATTATATACATTTATATATGTTAAATACCCAAAACAATTTTTGATAGTCATTTCACTGTACAAAAGGAACTTTAAAAATTAAAGTGTATAAAAATATATGACTTTGTGACCATAATATACATATAATATATAATGAAACTAAGACAAATTAAAAATTAAATAACCACGTAATAAATTTATCTCAAGAGTCAAGACATAATCTTGAATTTAGGACAAAATCAAATATGGTCTAAAGATATCCTTGGACACAACCAGTTTACTTATACGAGTACAGAGGAGATGTTCACTGACCCTTTAGATATACCTAACAAACAAAAACTAAACTCTCATATAACAAATAAACTAAAAATAATAATATTTTATGTTTAAAATAAATATAATTAATATATTATCTATTTTAAATGATAAATCATCTAAAAAAATTTAATAAACGATAGGTTTTTTTAAAAATAACTCGTAAAATTAAAAAAAGTAAAAATGCTTTGAAAAAAGTTTAAGTTTTTATATGACAGCATTAAAATTTTAAAATTATTTTAACTTTAATACTTTTACTATTTACTTATATAATGCATACATATGTATCGAGATTTTTTTGTGTAGAAAACTAACTAACTTGATTTATTTTAACGATGAAAGATTTCAAACTCACTAAATACGAGAACTCAAAATTCACGACGTTTATATCTTACGAATTGTGTAATGGTTATAAATATAGATCAAAAATAATTAAATTTCAAATAAAAAACCTCATTATTAACTATGTTGTTTAATTTACATTTATTTTATTATTCCAAAAACTTATATGACTGTAAGTTTGATACTTCGAACTGTTATTGAGTAAGATATATTCATAAAATGTAATTAGAATAAGAATATCATGAACAAAGTACGTAAATATATTTGTACATACTAACTACTTAGACGGCAATCGCTGTATTTAGCGTATACATAATAATTATGAATGTTACCTCTGTAACATGTTCGATATAAAGTTAATAATAAAAATAAACTTGTATGTTTATTTATTTATTAACAAAAATAGTGAATAAAATAAAATTTATCTTTGTTTTGACAGCCTGATTACTTTTTTTATTTTTCGGAATGGCCAATAATGAAAATATTAGGCT